TTCAGTTTGTGCTCTTCCTTACTCAGCTCACTATATTCCACCTGTACTGCCTTGGCCAGACTCTGGATGATAGCGTAGTCGGCCAGCTGTACGTACTCTGACCCGCACTGGGTGATGAGGCCTGTCTCCCAGGATCCCTAGTTGTACAGCTTCTGAATATCCATCAGGTTCTTCTGGCCGTGCTAGGGACCCCGATCACGAAGTCGTCCACGTGCGCGAAGATCACCGTCTCGATCTCCCCGTGCTTATTGTACTTGATCCACAGGCAGGGTTCGAGCGTCATTGCCACGTATCCCATCTTGTGAAGATCGCTGGCCACCTTCTCGTACCACTCCATGGGCGCATTCACAAGACCGAAGGCCACCTTCATAATCTTCACGCACTCCTCGTCCGACAACTGAAAGGCTTCACGTAATTCTTGGACGGGTTCCACTAGAAGATCATGCTTCGCATGAGTCGGATCCTCTTGTAGAAATGCTGCGTTGGCGTCCCCTTTGTAGATGCGTAGGTGTTTGTTGGCGATCATCTGGAGTGCCAGGTTCCTTCCTCGGGCCGAAATTGTTGGACTCGACTTATCGATCGTGGCCAGCCTGGGGTCTTAAAACCCGAGCAGGATCAGTATGGCCTTAACCCTGCCTTCGTCCTTCATGATGAGATGCCACTTCGTCTTCGTCGGCTGGATTCCTGCTTGCCTGAATGCCGCCTGACAGACTTCGTTCCGCGTCCAGTTGTTGACCTCCACCATTTTCGCCTCGGCAACCTTCGCCTGCACCTCTGGAGTGGCTTTCCTCACGTGAATTTCCACTTGACCTTTCTTTGCAGCCTTCTTGAAAACCTGCTTCGGCTTTTCCTTGAATGCTGCCAGGACGTCGCCTTCCAGAGCCATCTCAGTCATGTAGATTTCTGTGCCCTCATTCAGTGTGGCGAAAATCTCTGACACTCCCAGCTCCTCAGTGGTCCTGGCCTTCTTCTCTGGCGGTCGGTCGGGTGGCTCTCCGGGATCGTCTCGCTCGGTGAGATTTGCCTGATGGAGATCGGCACGTCGTCCAGTAGCGAGTTCGTTTTCATGTTGTAGTCTGTGCTGGGCCTGGCTTCTCTTTGTTGTTCTTCTGGTTGAGGGGTCCCTGGTGACATGGGTGTCTCAGGCGTCGGAACGTCGGAGGCTGTCCTCGTTACTGGTGGTTCTTCCTTGTCTGGTTCAGATCCTTCACCTTCTCCAGGTCCTGGATCCTCTGCAAATCTCCCGATCAACTCCTCTGGACTGAGCTCTTCTTCTCCTTCGGCTTCTCGTTCAGCTTCATCTGCGTCGTCGCGGGGTTCCTCCTATGGCGCGTCGTCGTCTCCTCCTCCATCGGGTTCTGGGTGGCCTTCCGGCTCCTCTGCTGGTGCTCCTCGTTCGTCTCGATCGTGGTCTGCTCCTGCTGGTGCTGACTGATGACGGAGGTCCCAGTATCTCGCCCCGATGTCCAGTGCATCCATCGCTGGCCGTCGTTCCAGTGGCTCGGACTTCTGGATGACTGAGTAGAATGCCTTTTCGTGTTCTGATGCTGCTCGAAGCTGTTGAGGGATGCTCAAGACCCACTGATTGTTGAAGTAGATCAGCACCAAGTTGCGGGGGGTTGCCTCGCCCTTCTCGTGCATGTAGAACTGGTTGATGACCAATGCTGGTCCCATGAACTCGCCCTTCGACTTCTTTATCTTATCTGTCCTGCTCCCGGGTTCTACCCAAACTAACACCAGTTCGCCGGTCTCCCATGTAGTGAACTTCCGAGTCTTTGAAACCGCTGCTAGACATGCTTGTCGATCGGCCAGTGCTTCAGCGTATGCCTTTCTTGCTTGCGCCCTTCTCTTGACCATTCGCTCGGCGCTGGATCCTATTTCGGTCTCTGCTTGTAGGTGCACCGCTGATCCTGTGAGCTGGGAGCCCAGAGGTCGCAACTGACGTCCAAAGAGAACTTGATCTTGAGACGCTCCTGAGACTCGAAACATCTCGGCGTGTGCGGCTGCGCACCAGCTGAAGATCTCCTGAATCGGACATTCAGGACCCATCATGGCCATCCTGGTGGCGGCTACCTGCAGCAAGTTGATGGTGACCTCCACTCGTCCATGCTTCCAGTAAGCTTCCGCAAGTCCGACTTCCCAGTGGATCCCATGATCTGATGCCCACTTGTGGAGAATATTCGCGCGGTATGCGCCAGCAGGAACCGTCCTTATCTGCAAGGGCCTCCCACAGTACCTTGCCCACTCGTTGGTGAACGTCTGCCAGACTGCGTCGGATGGGGTCTCTCCGGTGTTACCCTTGATCGGCGCCATGGAGTGTATGACTGAAACTGCCTTGGCCGACCCTTCGTCGATCATTAGCGTTCCTCCCGCTCGCGTCTCGGTGATTGGGTGTATCCAGTCAAAGCCATCCATCTGCAAGACATCGAGTGGTTCGGCTTGCGCTCCTGCTGCAACGGACATTGGATGACGACGCACTGTCGCCTCGCATATGCTGCGCCTGAGCTTCCCGGCGAGCGCGATGACCCACGACTGAGCTCCTTTGCGGGTGAGATCGGCTCTCATGGCATTGACGCCCATGTGGTTCATGTTGACGTGGATGCTCATCAGTTCCTTCTGGACCAGCTCGATGGTCTTCGGTTCTACGTCCTTCAGTGCCTCCTCGGATGCCTCATCATTCTCGAAGATGTCACCGTGATCATTCGCGATGTGTTTGTGCAGCTCGAAGAAGTCATCGCTGTCCTCCTTCATGATGGTAGCTGCCCATTTCCTGCACATTGCCTTGGGATACTTCGCCGTGTCGCCCGCATCTGCTGTTTCCGTCTCGAATACGGTGTGCTGGTGATCTCGAATGCATCTCTTGCGTAGTCTGTCCACAAGTCTCTGCCTGGTGGTGAGTCTCCTCCAGCCCTTCCTGATGAGTTCTCCATTGATGTTGCTCCTCATGACCCAGCCGTATCCGTAGGTGATGGGCTCGTGTAGCTGCTGCCGCATGTCGAACATCTCTGGAATGCTCCTCCATGAACTTGCAGTTAGTGGGCGTTCGAAGGAGATCTCGGTGTCCAGCTCCTTCCTGGCGTACACTAGCACCTCCAATACATTCCATATCACTCGGCGACCCCACTTCCGCAACTTCACCAGTCGATCTTGCGACTCCACGGTGTTGTGTCGTCCGCTCTGGAGTGCTGAGAATGGGGTGCATGGAGGCGATGCGTGTATCCATCTTGGTCTATGATCTGCTCCTTCGCCTTGACGACTGTCGTTTTCTGACTGAAATCGAATATGTTGAACGGTCCCATGCGCGAGATGACGCCTCCCATGTTCTCCACGTCCTTGCTGGGGCCGCTGTCGGGGGATGCCCAGACCTCCAGAAGATCGGTTCGATGAGTCCTTGCCACCGTCTTGAGCATACGAATCTTCTCATTGTCGATGGTGCTGGCTGCCTGTAGAGCTCAATGTCGGACTCGCCGAGGTCGGTCCTTTACCGCTCGTAGGCGATCTCCCGCCGGCCCCAATGTCCGATATGACTCCAGAATCGCTTGGCTCCCGTGAACTTCTTGGGGCACCGGTTCTTCGAGTACTTCGTGAGTTGCCCGTGAGTATGCCACCGACGCCGAGATTGAATCCGAAGTACCAGCCGCTGCCATCTGCTCATCCCCTGTGGCTCCTCTCCTTCCCGGGATCCTGCTTGGGGATGTTCGTCTTGGTGGTCTTCGACATCTTCATCGTCATCATGCTCTCCTCTTCGACGTCGATGGTCTCCTGCGTCGGTGGCTTCTTGTTGAAAGCTGTGCTCATTGGCATCGGTGTCGTGGTGGAGGCTGAACTTGGTCCTTTGGCCGCTGGTGGTTCCGTTGGGTCCGCGAGCTTCTCCTTCGTGACTGATTGATTGGTCGATCGTTTCCTTGTCCTCGCCACCGCGGGTATCTCCCTGATCTCCGTATCCAACTGGAGGCTCTTCCCGTGGTCCATGGACAAGGCTTCTTCCACCTCTTCGAGCAGGTAGCCCCATGGCTGTGGAAGTGTTCCTGCCTGTGCTCGACGCGCCGCCTCCGCCAGCAGACCGTCTCGTGCTGCCTGCCGTGCCGCGGCCCCCCTCTGCTCCTCGATGGCGTCCGGGTCCGTCAGTCACTGCGTGCAGCTCCATCGCCCGAGCCCTCAGGTCGTCGTAGTAGTCCGCTGGCTCCTGACTGGCTGCAGCAGGCGCGGACTGCCACTGCTGCGCTGAGTGGCGAGAGTCCACCGCGGCGGGCGGCTGTACCAGATCCCACTGCTGAAACTCCTCGTCCGAGATCTCGTTTGTCTCGGTGCAATCTCCCGGCCCCTGGGGGCTGCTCACCATGAAAGCTCCTCCAGGATCGACTGCTTGACGCAAATGGCTCAGGAGGCGGAGGGCGCGTTGTTGATCGATTCTTTTCGGTAACTTCACAATTCGCAGCGAATGCATATGAACACCCCGTCATCTCACCCAAATCCGCACCCAAGACACCCCCATGTATGCCTCGTTCTCGTCCCCGAACCTTTTCTGGAACATCTCTTTCTTGTTCGGGGGGTCGGCGACGTTCTCGACGTGGTCCGTTTCGTTCGGGGGGTCGTTGATATTCTCGACAGGGTCTATCTCGTTCGGGTGGTCGATGAGGGCCAAATAGACGAGGGTGTTTGGGTTTGTCGTTGCTTTCTTTTTCTCGAGCGTGGTTTCGTCCTGATTCTTCTGTTTTTTCTTTGAGAATTGCAGTGGTTTTCGAATTCGCTCGCTTGAATTGCGTGTTCTTCTGACTTTTGTTTGTCGGTTCTGTTCCCAGGGTCTCTGAGCGACTTCTTCCACTTTCCCAATGGCAAGTTTTTCCTCCTTCCATTCCGAAGGCGCTGTCGGCTCCTTCCGCTGGGCACCCTCGCAAGACGGGGAGGGCGCAGTGGGAGCTGGACAAGCGCACCGCCGGCTCCTCGAGCCCGTCCGGGAGGACGAGCGCGGATTTCTCCATGATGAGATTTGCTCCAGCCTTCTCCAGGTAGTCCAGACCCAGCAGGATCGGCGACTTCTTCTCGACCAGATCGAACCACAGCTTGCTCTTGTCCTCGGCCAGCGCGATGGGATGCTCGAAGCCGAACCTCCCTATGGACTGTCCCTTCTCGCCTCCGGCATAGGTGAAGTTCGTCTTCTTTGTGTAGTCCACCTCGACCTGGTCCAGACCCGTCTCGGTGACGATAGTCTCCTGATTCGCAAGCGCCAAATCCATGCCGATCATGCTCTTCGATGTTCCGGTGTCGGTGATCGTGTATCCAACCATCTCCTCATGTGCCCAGCCGGCTTGTCCTGCTTCCTGGACATCTCCCTCATTGCTGTAGTTGTTCTGCTCGGCGTCGACTGCGTCCACGAAGCACTGGGTGGCCATCTGCATGTTGTTGCCGTCGGTTCCTGTGTTGCCGCGCCTCGGACAGTCTGCAGCTTGATGGGGTCCTTGGCAGATCAAGCACTTGACCGACTTGCCCTTGCCCTTACCCTTGTGTGGGCGTCTCGCAGTCGACTGCTGCATGGGAGGGCGTTCTCCACCTTGTGGCCCTGGAGGTCTGGGTGGACGTAGTGCCGACTTTGCTGCTGCTGTCGCCCTCTGATCCTTGATGTTCTTCCCCGGGATCTGACCGATGCCCACCTCTGGGAAGTAGCCGCTCCTTTTCTTTGTTGTCGCGGCCAGCATCTTCTTCGCCTCTGCGAACGTCCTCTTAGCATCCTGTGCGTAGATCTCAGCGTCCTCTGCACATGCCTCCAGCGTTTCGATCTCCTCGTTCGCAGTCTCCTCCTCATAGTGAGCTTCGGCCTCCTCCGTCTGCTCAAACTCATCCTCTTCGTAGTAGACCAATTGGTCATCCTCGTCGTCGTCCTCCTGATAGTTCACCTGTGCCCGCCTGGTGTCCCGGTTGTTCTGGAAGCGCGTCTCTCCTTCTCGAAATCATGTTGTCCCTGGCCGTCAGATCTTTGTCGGGCCACGCGTACTTCACCTTGTCAATGGCCGTGTCACTCTTCCAGTCGTCTAGCGCTGCCACCATAGTGGCTCGCTCACTCGGATCCAGGTTCGCATTCACCAGAAAGATGATGCCGCGCAGCTCGTCCGGGATCAGGTCCATCACGTCCATGTCGGGGCATATTACCTGCGCGCTCTTCTCCATTTCCTGATGGGCGTCCTCCTCCTGTTCCGTATAGAGCCCGATCGTCTACCCCAGCTTCCTCACTCTCGGTCCCGACGTTCTCCGGCCATAGTAATATGAGAACACCTTATCTACCGCGTCACTCGAGGCCTGCTTGCCTAGATTCTCAGGGCCCTTCTCGCCGACGATCGCGTCGGGCTCTCCTTCTACTCGCGGAAGTCGGAGGGCCAGCTTCCTGTGAACGGAGTTCTCGGGCAGCGCTTGCACGAGACGTGGGCCCAGCAGCTTCCGGTCATCCTCCTTCGTAGCCAAGGTGGGCAGCTCCACTTCGGCCTGACGCTCGCCTAGTGTCTCCGTTCGGCCGGCCCGCAATGGAACCCTCTGAACGTCGACCTGCTGGCCCGTGCTCGACGACGCCATAAACAATCATAATCCACTTCAACCAAACTCCGCACTGCCAATATCTTGTCGATCTCGTCGGGGTAACTCGCGAGAGTTCGTAAATATGGTCGATGTCGATATCAACTGAACTGCGTGATGAAATAGGAAAGGTAACTCTTTTCCTCCGGACAAGGGTGGGCTCGTTCACGAGCCAAATCAGTATCTGAAATGAAACCGCACGCAGAAAGCTCGAGTACTGAATATAGTTGCGGAATCGGATCGGAGGTTTCCTTGAAACGTTGAAACGGTACCGGATCGGAGGTTTCCGAAATCCTCAGAAACTTTCCCTTGGGAATCCGATTTCGACAACATCCTCCCGCTCCTCCTCCTGCTCCTCCTCATCCTCCTTCTTCTTCCTCGCTAAGTACGCCGACGATTTGACGAAGAAACTTGCTGGACATGCGACGATGATCTTAGTCAACAAGAGTGTGAGGTCCAACCGGGGGCTGGACTCTGCCCTCCAGCCTTGTGGTTTTAAGCAGAACCTGACTATGCAGGATACCCTGTTGTCTCTCCGAGGCTCCTCGGGAAGTTCGGGATGGTCTCATTGCGTTTCCTGGTGCAGCGTCGTTGGAAATCGAGAGTCTTGGGCTTATCATGAGTTCGAGGGCGTCTAACTTTGGGCCTGAACTGAAGTCTCGGGGAAAAGCTTTACAGAGAGCTTGGTACTCTCTGGGAGGATTTTGGAGTGTTCCTGGAATTCCCTCATCGGCTTCGCCGTTGTATATTTATTTCAAAGATCTATGATACTGCTTTATCAGGTCTCGAAGGCTTTACGCCAAGCCCGCTGGATTTATCTAAGCTGAACAACATGGTGGCTGGGTATGCTCGCAGGGCGAGGGGGGGGGGGGGGGCGTGTGACAGGGAGGCCCCAGGTCGCCCCAAGTCGATGACGTCTGCTGCTGTGCTTCACTGCTGGCGACTCGTACCGTTGAAGACGGAGCTGGCCATCCGTCGCTTGCGCTACTGGCACTCTTTGTCACGTGCCCCGCTGGCTAATCGACAAGTTCTCGTTGCGCTCTTCGGGCATTTTGAAGTTTCACCGCCAACAGTGACACCCGAGAAGCGGTTGTCGCAATGGGCCTCGCCGTGGGCTCGTCAGCTGCTTGCAGATTGTCATGCCCTTGCTGACCTTGACGAGGGTGCGTCTATCATAGAACGACTGGGTGATAGAGTTTTCCTTGCCTTCTCGGACCCCGAGTTTTGCTAATAATTCTGCAGGATCGACGGTCGTCACCTTCGCTCGCGGGCACTTGGGGTTCAGGTTCCACCAGTTGAGTTTCTGGACGCGGAGGAGATCCCAGGGATGCTTCGGGATGATGTTCGCGAGGGTGCATATCGATGTTCGCTTTTGGGTCCTACTGGGGAGGTCAGTGGGCGCATCTTAAGAGATCGACGAGCGGTGCGCGCACGTAATAGCACATCGTGGGTTCCAAGAGCTTGCACGCGTCATGTCTGTGTCCAACCAATGCTGTGTATGTGGTCTAGTCTTTGCACATCGTGAAAGCTGTCGTCGTCATCTTTCGCAGAGTCTTAGACGATGAGAGTGTGCTGCCGATGCTACACGTAATGATTGTGAAATTCGTGTGCCGTCATCTCTGGCGTGTCCGCTGTGTCCGTATGTAGCTGGGCTGTTCGAACATTTACAATAACATCTTTGCACGCATCTTGAGGATGTTCCCAGAGTTCCTCCGCGCCATGGAGGGGGGGCCGGCCTGGATGTTGGCGGGCGAGGGGCCGAGGTCGAAGCAGAAACGCGTTGGAGACGCAGCCGGGTCGCTAGTGGACCAAGCTTCACAGTCAGCACGAGGCGGCGGCAAGCAAACGATTCTCAAGCAAATAATTCGTCATTATGACCAAGCTCGCCTTGAGCAGTGCAGCGGAGCTGCGCGAGGTATGCGGGGTAGTCTTGCAGACGTGGCTGATCATGGCGACGAACCCTGCAGCTCGCGCGGCCAAGGCCGCGGGGGTGGCCTACCACAACAAAGTTCAGCATATGACAGAGTCGTCGGAGGGAATGCAGGAGGATCTGGGCCCCCCATTTCTGCACGTGTGGAGTGCGTTCATCCACGGGGTAGGCACGGACCCGAACTGCCCGCCCGAGGCCAAAAATATCCAAGAATAGTACTGGACGTCCGTCGTGATGAAGAAGCCCGTGCTGGATTTAGCCAACGAAATTCGTGCCTGTCGCATCCGCCCCACAAAAAAGTCGAGGGCAAGCCCGAGATGTTTCGGATCACTCTCGCAGTCGACGTGAAGTATCGGCTCTTGGAGGAGGCGATCGAGGCTTATCTGAGGAAGAATGGGGCAGTGCGCAAACATGGGGGAGCACCGAAAGGATCTCCCGAACGGGACGCAGCTCGTCTGTTGGAGCGGTTCCAAAAGTAAAATCTGCGGCAGCGCCTGAAACTCGTCCTGTGGGTGGGGGTGCCGTGAATCCTCTGGGCAAGGCTCGCGCCTTCGTTCCGCCAGCATTCGTGGGTAGTCGCCGTTTCTTGGAACTGCAAGCTCGTGGGGATCTTGAGCTGCCAGTTGTAGGCGCCAGCAGCGAAGGGGTCGAAGAGATTCTCTCTGAAAAAGACCAGGGGCGAATCTCGTTTTTTGCTCCAAGGGATTCCACAGGATCGGGGTAGAGTTTTTGTAGCGCAGCCCAGAGCGAAACCTCCAGGACGTGCTAAGGCTAAATCCAGAACGTAGCGTGTCCTGGGGGTGGTTTCACTTCTTAATCTGAGTTTTGAGCCTCCTTCTGAAGGACGGGAAGGCAGTGCCAGGCCCCCCCCCCTTGAGCGGTCAGCACCGCCTGGGCGAGGCTGTGGCCCGTGTGTCCCCTACCTGCAGGGCGGGCAAGCAGTTCGCCACTGAAGGCCACCCAGATCCAGCCTTTGTTCTCTTGCACGATGTTTGCATACCGTAATGTGTGCTAGCAGTCATGTTGCACTTCATGGGTCCGAGGGTTTCTTTCTTTCTTTCTTTCTTATTTTCTCCTTCTTCTTCTTGTTAGTATTATTCTTCTCCTGTTCCTGCTCTGCCTCCTCCTCCTTCGTCCCCCCCCTTCCTCCCTCTCTTCCTCCCTCCGTCCCTCTCTCCGTCCTCCGTCCTCAGTCCTTCGAAGCCCGTCCGTTCTCCTCCTCCTACTTCTCCAACTCCCTCTCCTCCTGCTCCTCCTCTTCCTCCTCCTGCTTCTTCTTCTTCTGCTCCTCGTTTTCTTCCTCCTCCACCTCCTTGTCCCTCCCCCCCGTCCTCCGTCCCTTCCTTCGTCCGTCTCTCTATCCGTCCTCCGTCCTCCACCCATCTCCTGCTCCTCATCCTCCGTTTCCTGTTTCCTCCTCCCTCTCCTCCTCCTCCTCCTCCTCTCCTCCTCCTCCTCCTCTTCTCCTCCTCCTCTCCTCCCTCCTCCTCCTCTCCCCTTCTCCCTCCTCGATTTCCTCCTCCTGTTTCCTCCTCCCCCTCCTGCTCCTCCTCCTGCTCCTCCTCCTCCTCCTCTCCTTTTTCTCCTCCGCCTCATCCTTCTCCAACTCCCTCTCCTCCTCCTCCTGCTGCTCCTCCTCCTCCTACTCTTCCTTTTTCTCATTCTTCTGCTCCTGCTCCTCCTCCGCCTCCTCCTCCTTCGTCCCCCCCCCTTCCTCCCTCCCTTCCTCCCTCCGTCCCTCTCTCCGTCCTCCGTCCTCTGTCCTTCTGCTGCTCCTGCTCCTGCTCCTGCTCCTCCTCCTCCTCCTGCTCCTCCTCGTTCTCCTCCGCCTCCTTCATCCTCCCCTCTCTTCCCCTCCCGGGCGCCGGGGGAGGAGCTCGGCCGGTCGGGCTTAGCTCAAGCAGGTCGACTGCGCATTGAAGAAGGAGGGAGGAGAAAGGAGGGAGGAGGGAGGAGGAGGAGGAGGAGGAGGAGGAGGATGAGGACGAGTGTAAACCCAAGACCCATCAACGATGTTGGGATACACCCTTCCTCCAAGCTCCCTCTTCGGAGGCCCCTACAAGGGGTCACTTCCACTGAAGAAATGGACCCGTAGGAGGACAACCGTTTGAAGATCCTGAAGCGTACCCAAACACGACTCTCAGGTCTTCAACGCCATAAGTTAACCTGACTGGTACGTCCTGGCGATCCAGAATCATGGAAGAACACTATTCCTGTGACTTCAACACCGCGAATCACTGCAACAAGTTGCGCCCCGACAGTCCAGAATCGCTCCAACACGCCGTTCTGGTACGCTAACCCTGAGAACCAGTGGGGCTCTTGCAACTTGTGAAACTAATGTGCGCGGCGCTAAGGCGATAACCACATTTTGAAAACGACCCGCCCTCAATCCGTGAAGCGCTCTTGCTCGTTTTGAAAACGAATGTATGCGGCGCTAGATTTGAGAACCGCATTTTGAAAACGAGCCGCCCTCAATCCGTAAAGCTCGTGCAATGTTTTGGGATTGTTGTGCGCGGCGCTAAGGCGAGAACCACATTTTGAAAACGAGCCGCCCTCCATCCGTGAAGCTCTTGCAGTAAAAAACGAACATGCACGGAGCTAGGGCGATATCCACATTTTGAAAACGAGCCGCCCTCCATCCGTGAAGCTCTTGCAATAAAAAACGAAGATGCACGGAGCTAGGACGAGATCCACATTTTGAAAACCACCCGCCCTCCATCTGTGAAACTGTTGCCACTTTCAAAGCTTCAGGGCCATGAGAGGCGAGGAAGTCTCAGGCGAAACACCAGGCCAGCCCTTTCGACTGGTCTCGGGGTGCGACAGGGAGGAGTTATCTACAAGGAAAATGACTGGAGGAGGAGGAAGAGGAGGAGAACAATGCCGACGCGACGACGACGACCCCGCCGACAGGGACGACGACGACCACGACGGCGGCGGCGGCGACGACAACGGCGAATCGCCGAAGGGCGTGCCGCCGCCCCGCCGTCCACAGCCGGCGGCGCCGCGGCACCTGCGAGGCCAGATCTCCTCCTCCACCGCCTCC